CCCTGCCTTGGCCCTATGTCACCTGCTGGCCACCATCCCCACACTCCCACCCTTGCCCCAGGCCTGTGTTCCCTGCTGGCCCTTGACCTGACACCATCCCCGCACCCCTGCCCTGGCCCTGTGATCCCTGCAGGCCCCACAACCTTGCCCAACCCTGTGTCCCTTTCAGTCCCCAGCCCCACACCATCCCCGCACCCCTGCCTCAGCCCTAGCCTTGTGTTCGCTGCCTGCCCCGGCCCCACACCCCTCCCCAGGCCTCAGTTGTATGTCCCCTGGGGGCCCCACATTCCCCAGGTTTCTTACACCATCTCCACATCCCTGCCCTAGCAGCACATTCCCTGCATGCCCCCCACAGTCTGGGTCCTTGGCACCACCCCACACCTCTGCCCCAGTAGTGTGTCCCCTGCCTGCCCCACACACCCTTTACTATCTCTGGACTCCAGCAGCACCCTTGCAGCTTGCCATGCAGCAAAGAGACCCCTGGGGCAGGCGCATGACCTACCAGCCCTCCCTGGTCCCACCCTCACCCACTGCACCTCTCCTGTTGCCACCACCAGGCCCCTCTCCCCAAACCCCAGCACCAGGCCAACTGCTAGGGCATGCTATCCTGCATTGCTGGTGCACAGAAGGGACCGCAGGTCAGCCATTGCCAGACACGGCTAGGCTTGTTCTCTAGGGCTCCCCAGCACACTCAGTTCACTAAGGCCTGCCTGGACCCCGTTGGGGTCCTGGGCAGATCCATGCAGGGCCCGTTCCGAGGACACACCTTGGAGACAGACTTGAAGCCCAGATGACTCATAGCATTCACAAAGGCTCGGAGGTCTTCAAAGCGGCTGGCAACCTCAGCCATCATTAGGGTGCCCCTATGGAAACACCGCACCCGGAAGTGGTGGCGCACAGACACAGCCCTGGCCTGTCTCTGCCCAGGTACACCTACCCAGGGCCTCTTGTCCCCACTGGCTACATCCAAGGCCAGGCCCTTGCCTCCAGGGCTCTTCACAGCAACCCCTTCTCTATCTCCTTTACCCTTGTACCCAGCCCCAAGTACCAGCACATCACTGCCTACCCCTGCTTCAGCACACGATTCGCCTCTTCTAGGATCTCCTGCAGGTTGGTACCCATCAACGCTAGGCAGAATACTGCAACATCCACTGATTCAGCTGCCAAGGGCACCTGTGAAACACCAGAGACACCCCCCCCCACACACACAAGGAGGTTAGCCACAGGTTTGGGGCAGTGCTTCCCTGCACTTTAGGAGGCTCCTTTCCCTAGGCTCTTGGATTCAACCAGCATCTTTTGTGGAGAGCCCACAAACAGAGGTGCCCCACTTTTCAGAACACACACATGCTCCCTCTTCTCAAGAATGGGATCATCTTCCACCCCAGAGGCTTTCCTTTTTCCCCCCCTTCTCTCCCCTGTGAATATCTGTGGGTGCACACTTTGCCTATGCATTGCAGTCCCCAGGAAGCATGGACTGCACAACTGCTGTCCCTCACATGCAGGTCAGCCATGTCATTCAGCTCCTTTATTGCACCTCTCTGGCTCTGGGCACGTGCTTGCTTTGCAGGGTGTGTACCTTGCCTCCCTAAAGTAACCTCTGCCATATCACATGCACAATTGTGGCCTCCCTACCTTGGCCATGTCACACACAGTGACAAGCGGGCTGAGGGCTACCAGATCGAAAGAGTGAACCTTGTTTCTGATGCTGTTGGCAATCTTGCAGTCACCACATCCAAAATCTGCCACTACCAGTGAGGCTGGCCTGGAGAGAAGCAGAGAGCAGACTGAGAACACTGCTTTTCCCTTGCCCCACAGCATCAGTTTGTCCCCACAGCTTGGAGACTGCCTTGGACTAGGGTCTCCAGAGCCCCCCAGTTCAGCCCCACACTCACCGCTGCCGCAGATAACGAACAATACGATGCACGGGATTCTCGGGCCAGCGCCCTACTTGTTGAGCAAAGCCACGGTGGTAGATTTGGAAAGCTTCAGGGTCATTCTGGAAGAGCTGTGCCGCTTCCTGGCTGCTGGAAGTGTAGAGCTGCTGGTTGATGTAACGGAACCGGGCAGAGAGGAGCCGCTCCTCCATCCGTGCACGCAGGGCCTCAGACCGCTCTGAAGGCGGCGTTTCTACAGTGGGCAACTCCAAAGTGCCTGGCTCTGCACTTGCCTCCACATCCAGACGCTTGTCCCCACCAGGTCCAGGCCCCAATTTGAACTTATTCTTCTGACGCCTTTTATTCTTTTGTCTGTTCCTCCACTGCTTCCTGCTCAACCTCTGTGCTGGCCCCTCAGCTGACAGCCCCGTCTCCAGCTTCACACGCTCCACGCTCAGCATGGGTTCGTCCCCATGCAGCTCAGCAGGCACATCTGAAAGGCAGAGAGTAAAGTCAGTGCTGTGGCAAGCAGCTCCCCAGTCTTGCTCAGGTTATAGCAACCTCTGTGCTGGCCCCTCAGCTGACAGCCCCGTCTCCAGCTTCACACGCTCCACGCTCAGCATGGGTTCGTCCCCAGGCAGCTCAGCAGGCACATCTGAAAGGCAGAGAGTAAAGTCAGTGCTGTGGCAAGCAGCTCCCCAGTCTTGCTCAGGTTATAGCCTACGACTGTTAGCCTAGTGCCTGGTC